GGTTTGTTCCCAGGAAAGAAGAAGAGCAGTATATACCTGCCAACAGGTATATACAGACACACACTGAATAATGGCTGACCAGCATGAGGGCAGTACTGTCAGAAATTTCTTTGAGTTGTGAGATGGATGTATTTTTAAATGCTACTTTGTAAAGGTGACCTTTACAAAATAAAAGGGAAAAGAAATCTAAAAACATAAAAAATAAAAAACAAATAAAAAACTAGGCCAGGAGCAGTGGCTTACACCTGTAATCCCAGCACTTTGGGAGGCCGAGGCGGGTGGATCACCCGGCCAACATGATGAAACCCCTTCTCTACTAAAAATACAAAACATTAGTTGGGCCTGGTGGTGGGCACCTGTAATCCCAACCACTTGGAGGCTGAGGCAGGAGAATTGCTTGAACCCGAGAGGCAGAGGTTGCAGTGTGCCAAGATTGCCCCATTGCACTCCAGCCTGGGTGACAGAGCAAGACTCTTGTCAAAAATAAAAATTTAGAACAAATTTAAATTGTATGTAAATGATACACAAATTAGGAGAATTGCTTGAACCTGGGAGGCAGAGGTTGCAGTGAGCCGAGATCGCACAATTATCGCACGATTGCACTCCAGCCTGAGCAACAAGAGAAAACCCCGTCACAAAAAAAAAAAAAAAAAAAAAATATTTGGGGGGCTGGGCACAGAGGTGCATGCCTATAATCCCAGCACTTTGGAATGCTGAGGTGGGTGGATCACAAGGTCAATAGATAGAGACCATCCTGGCCAACATGCTGAAACCCTGTCTCTACTAAAAATACAAAAATTAGCTGGGCATGGTGGCGCATGCCTGTAGTCCCAGCTACTTGGGAGGCTGAGGCAGGAGAATTGCTTGAACCTGGGAGGCAGAGATTACAGTGAGCCACGATCGCGCCACTGCACTCCTGTGTTTCCTATGGCTGGCCTGTGCCTTCTGGAAAGTCCTATTACGTTTTAATACTTTTTAATACTGGCAGTAAAACTGAAGTATGGTCCCTATGTATAAAATCATCCGTGGAAAAATAAATACCAGTAGACTGCAAGCTCCTCGGGAGCAGAATTCACATTTTTAAAAATAGATATGGGATCAAGCTCTGTTGCTCAGGCTGATCTTGAACTCCTGGGCTCAAGTGATTCTCCCACCTCAGTCTCCCGAGTAGCTGGGATTATAGGCGGGAGCCACTGTGCCCAACACAATGCATATCTTATTCATCTCTGTGTCCTTGATGCATGGCAAATAATATCTTAATAAATGCCTATTAAACTGAACTATGCTATGTAGATGTATATTATATACATATACATATTCACACACATATACATACATATGCATCTATAGAAAGAATGGAGGAAGCAAAAGATTACAATCATAAAGACATACGTGTTACTAAAATTGAACAGCAAAATATAAAAATGAAACATCTCATGAATTAAATGAGCATGTTCTATAAGCTCAGATGCTATAAACCCTTGAGTCTTTTCCTCCCTGACAAGCCTTTCGGCCATTTGACAGCATTTTGCCTTTGCCACCTGGTGACAGGATTGAAAGAACAGTGAATATGCTGACAGACTATTCACTCTTCCCCTGTGGGGCACCTTCCACAAGTGTTCAATCAGAGTTCCCCCCATATCCATAAAAGAGCATCTTCTGTGAGCTGACGGCAGCTATGGAGTCACTGAAAAGGGAAATCGTGGCGCAGAAAATAGCGGACTGCCTTTTTGCACACCCACTTTGTCTCCAAACCAGCATGAATAAGGGAATAGGGAGCAAAATGAATACAAGAGAGAGCATTTTGCCCAAATTTGCAGAGTGATGGATAGGAAAGTACAGATGGTAGATGGATCAGATTGGGAGCTGTTTTCATGTTTTCTTTTTCTATATCCTTTTCTTTGTGTGTATTTGAATATGTATGTGTATGTGAGAGACAGAATGAGAAAGAAATGCAGAGACAGATAGAGAATAATTCGTTTCTGAACGTAAGAGGCCATATGCAGTCACAGTTACACACAGACACTTAGAGGTGTAGATAGACTTGGAGACAAAACTCCCTGCTTGCCAATTTTACTAAATAAACATATTCACAGATTTCATAGCATTAATGAGCTGCAAAATAACTACATATTGAAGCTGCATGCAGCTGTCTGTACTGTTTGAGGATATTTTAAGTGAATATTAAGCCAATAATATAAATTAAAGAGGCCAAGTTCTCAAAGAGGCTTAAATAAGAAGCCAGTTAGCATGAATAGAACGAGCACATGGTTTGGATGACAGATGTTAGATTCATGGGTATTCATTATAACTTTATGATTTATCTTAAATGATATGCATTTTATGAGTTAAAAAATATATATTCTGGGGGGATGGTAAGAAGATAATAAGAAAAACATTTCAAATTGGTTTCTAGGTGAGTACAAATGTTTAAAGTTAAAAAGATGAATGCCTTGTAAAAAAAAAAAGAAAAATGTGTACCAATGGATGAATGCCTTGTAAAAAATAAAAAAAGATGAGGCACAAGTTACAGTTATGATAAGTCGGTAATGATGCTCAGAGCTGACTAATACATTGTCTGCTGCATTATCTGCTGATAGCTTTGACACATTTCTGAACTGGGCTAAGAAATATTTATTGCGATGCCAACAAACCCGTGGAGTGCTGAATTTTAACAATCCAGTCACAAGCCTGACTTTTTATTGCATTGAGCATTATAGAAACAAGACTTATACTCTGTATGATTTATAACTAATATTAGAGGAGAAAGAGAAGAACAATGTTGAAATTTAAAATATGCATCATAATTTATAAAACATTTATAAAGAATATATTCACATATATAATTTTTACATGTACCCCTAATCTCTTCCAGTTTAGATAATATGAATTTCTGAAAGTGGCTGGCTTGGTGTGGTGGCTCACACCTATAATCCCAGCACTTTGGGAAGCCGAGACGGGTAGATTACCTGAGGTCAGGAGTTTGAGACCAGTCTGACCAACATGATGAAACCCTGCCTCAAAAAAAAGGAAAAAAAGAAATAAAAAAAAAAAGAATTTCTGAAAGTTAGGCTTTTATTACGCAAAAACTTCTAGCATCTCAGACCTGCCATGCTCCTAATCAACCTAGAAGGGTGTAGGAAAACATGCTAGACAAGCCAAGAAAGAACAGATATAAGGACCACCATTATCAAGTTCCTTTTTTGTGCTAAGCACACTTACAAAGGTTCATTCCTCAGAAAGTAGTTATTTTTATCCCCATTTTACAACTGATAAGCCTGAATTTAGGAAAGCTAATTAACTTGTGCTTATAAAAGTGATTGTCTCAATGGGAAGAAGATAGTCTCATATTTGCAATAAGAAAGTTATTTTTCTTCAGTAATTTCAGCAATAAAGATGTTTCTGTTATTGTGGCCTAAAAATTAGAAATAGTTGATCAAAATAGATAAAACAAGCCTGTACCAGTCTCATGTCCTACACTAATAGAGAATGGTAAGAATAAATTCAAACTCAAGTCTGATAGCATGGCCCACTTTTTTCCCACTATATCACATCCTTTCAAGTCCTATTGTCATTAAAGTTCTAAATAATTATAGAAATTTAGCTGTTGAAAGTCAGCACTAGGAGAGAAAAATGAAAATGCCACTTGACATGTTCATTCTAAAAATTATACAGAAATGGAAAGTAACAAATAGCCAAGACCCAACTGAAGAAGAACTGGAATGGAGAGCTTGTTCTCTTGGATATAAAGACATGGCATAAAGCTATAGCAATTAAGACAGTGTGATGCTGGTACAAGCATAGACAAATAGAATGGAATACAGAGTATTGCTTATATTGCTCATGTATTGCTTAACATTTGATTCTTAACAAAGGTGATACTGCAGAGCAGCAGAGAGAGAACAGTCTTTTCAATAAATGATGCTAGGATATTTGAAAACGAATCTTGGCAAGAAAAAAAAAAACCTTTAACTCACATCATACACAAAGGACAATCCAATGTAGATTGTAGATCTAAATTTGAAAGGAAAAAATACCTGAGCTCAATTACCTGAGCACATCACAGCCTAATGGAAGCTAACCGAAAAGAAATAATGCAAGCATTAACTATGACCATTATTCTAGGTGCTTATTTCATTCTCCTACAAATCTCAGAATATATTGAAAGTTCGTTTACTATTTCTGATGGAATTTATGGCTCCACATTCTTTGTCACTACAAGATTTCATGGCTTCCATGCTATTATTGGATCTACATTTCTCACTACATGTCTTCTTCACAAACTAATATTTCACTTTATAACCAATCACCACTTCGGCTTCAAAGCTGCTGCATGATACTGACACTTCATAGACATAGTGTGACTGTTCCTGTATATTTCCATTTACTGATGTGGATCCTACTCTCTTAGTATAAAAGTACCATTGACTTCCAATCAATAAGCTTCGATTCAAACCCGAAAGAGAGTAATTAACCTAACACTAACACTCTCTTAGCCCTATTACTGATTATGATCACATTCTGACTCCCACAATTAAACGTTTATAGAGAAAAATATAACCCCTATGAATGTGGGTTTGATCCCATAGCCTCTGCTCGCCTACCTTTCTCTATAAAATTCTTTTTAATTGCTACTACATTCCTTCTATTCGGCCTAGAAATTGCCCTACTACTACCCATACCATGAGCAACCCAAACAAGTAATCTAACGTTAACAATTAGCACAATTCTTATGCTAGTAATTAGTTTAATTCTAGGCGTAGTTTATGAATGAACTCAAAAAGGATTAGACTGAGCCAAATTGGTATATAGTTTAAATCAAAACAAATGATTTCGACTCATTAGATTATGATGAATTATATCTACCAAATGCCTTTTATTTGTATTAATAATATACTAGCATATTCTATATCTCTACCAGGAACATTAATTTATCGATCCCACCTAATCTCTACTATGTTTGGAAGGCAAAATATTATCGTTGTTCATTATAATTATACTCATAACCTTAAATATACATTTTATCTTTTTTTTTTTTTTTTTTTTTGAGACGGAGTTTCGCTCTTGTTACCCAGGCTGGAGTGCAATGGCGCAATCTCGGCTCACTGCAACCTCCGCCTCCTGGGTTCAGGCAATTCTCCTGCCTCAGCCTCCTGAGTAGCTGGGATTACAGGCACATGCCACCATGCCCAGCTAATTTTTTGTAGTTTTAGTAGAGACGGGGTTTCACCATGTTGACCAGGATGGTCTCGATCTCTTGACCTCGTGATCCACCCGCCTCGGCCTCCCAAACTGCTGGGATTACAAGCGTGAGTCACCGCGCCCGGCCATTTTATCTTAATATCTATAATACCTCTTGTCTTTCTAGTATTGGCTGCCTGTGAAGCTGCAGTAGGTCTAGCCCTACTAATTTCAACTTCTAACATACACAGCCTAGATTACTTAAAAAACTTAAATCTACTCCAATGTTAAAAGTTATTTTCCCAACAATTATACTGCTTCCAACAACATGACTTTCAAAAAATTATATAATATGAGTTAACATAGTCGCTCATAGCTTATTTATCAGTCTCTTTACCCTATTATTCTTTCACTACCCCAGCAACAACCTATGTACCTTCTCACTTTCTTTTCAGATCCGTTAACGTCTCCGCTTCTAATCTTAACAGCCTGACTTCTACCTCCCATAATTTTAGCCACTCAACACTACCTATTCAACATTTCCCTCCCACAAAAGAACCTTTACATTTCCATACTAATTATCCTACAAACTTCCTTAATTACAGCATTCACGACCACAGAGCGAATCATATTTTATATCCTATTCGAAGTCACATTAATTCCCACTAATTATTATTACCCACTGAGGATATCAATCAGAACGCCTCAATGCAGGCTCATATTTCTTATTTTATACGCTAGTAGGATCCCTTCCCCTACTGGTCATACTTCTTTACACCCAAAACACCTTAGGGTCACTAAATATAGTAACAACAACAGTTATTGCTCAAGAAATATTATTCTCCTGAACCAACAATGTTACATGACTAGCACATATAACGGCCTTTAGAGTCAAATGCCTCTATATGGACTCTACTTATGACTCCCTAAAGCCCATGTAGAAGCCCCTATAGCCAGCTCAATAGTACTTGCAGCAGTACTGCTAAAATTAGGCAGCTATGGCATAATATGAATTACCCCTGTCCTTAACCCCCTAACAAAAACCATAAGCTATCCTTTCCTCATTTTATCCTTATGAGGTATAATTATGACAAGCTCTATCTGTTTACGACAAACTGACCTAAAATTACTCATCGCCTATTCTTCCGTAAGCCATATAGCTCTTGTTATTCTAGCAATCCTCATTTAAGCCCCTTGAAGTTTTACAGGCACTACTACTCTCATAATCGCCCACAGACTCACCTCATCTTTAATGTTCTGCCTAGCAAACTCAAATAATGAACGAATCCATAGCCGAAACATACTATTGACCCGAGGCCTCCGAACATTATTTCCATTAATAGCCCTTTGATGACTTTTAGCAAATTGTACTAATCTTGCCCTACTCCCAACCATTAATTTAATTGGAGAACTCTTTACAATCATAGCCTCCTTCTCCCGATCAAACTTCACTATTATACTTATAGGACTTAACATACGAATTACATCCCTTTATTCACTATACATATTTACCTCAACACAACGGAGAGCATTAATGTACAACATTAGCTGTATTAAACCTTCCTTCACACAGGAAAATATTTTAGTATTTATACATCTTGCAACAGTCCTACTCCTTACTCTAAACCCCAAAACAATCACAGGATTAACATCCTGTAGCTATAGTTTAACTAAAACATTAGATTGTGAATCTAACAATAGAAGCCTACAACTTCTTATCTACCGAGAAAGTATGCAAGAATTACTAACTCATGCCCTCAAGTCTAAAACATAGCTTTCTTACTTTTTTTTTTTTTTTTTTTTTGAGACAGTCTCGCTCTGTCACCAGGCACCAGGCTGGGGTGCAATGGCGCTATCTTGGCTCACTGCAACCTTCACCTCCTGGGTTCAAGTAATTCTCCTGCCTCAGCCTCCCGAGTAGCTGGAACTACAGGCGCCTGCCACCACATCCAGCTAATTTTTGTTTTTTAGTAGAGATGGGGTTTCACTATGTTGGCCAGGATGGTCTTGATCTCTTGACCTCGTGATCTGCCCACCTCGGTCTCCCAAAGTGCTGGAATTACAGGTGTGAGGCACCACGCCTGGCCCTGACTTTCTTACTTTTAAAGGATAGAAGTAATCTATTGGTCTTAGGAAGCAAAAATATTGGTGCAACTCCAAATAAAAGTGAAAAAGTATTCTTCCATCACTTTAATAACCCTAATTCCCCTATTCTTACCTATTTTCATTACCCTAATTAATCCCCCTAAAAAGATCCTATATCCATACTATGTAAAAATGGCTATTGTATATGCCTTCATCACCAGCCTTATCTCTATAACAGTATTTGTTCTCACAAATCAAGAAACTATTATTTCAAATTGACATTGAATAACAATCCAAACCCTTAAACTATCATTAAGTTTCAAACTAGACCTCTTCTCCACGATATTTACCCCCATAGCATTATTTGTTACTTGGTCTATCAAAGAATTCTCAATACGATATATCTAGATCCAAATATCAATCAATTCCTCAAATATTTACTCATTTTTCTCATCACGATATTAATCTTAATCACCACCAATGGACTCTTTCAACTTTTTATTGGTTGAGAAGGAATAGGCATTATAGCTTTCCTATTAATCAGCTTATGGTACCGCCGAGCAGATGCTAACACAGCGGCCCTCCAAGCAATCTTATATAACTGTATTGGTGATAATTGGTTTTATCCTAGCAATAGCATGATTCTTTTTATTCTCCAACTCATGAGACTTCCAACAAATATTCATCCTCAACTGCACCCCAAATTTCTTTCCACTAATAAATCTCCTCTTAGGAGCCTTCTAGAGGATAATACAAAATACCTTTATGATCTTGGTGTAGAGAAAGTGTTCTAAAACAGGAAACATATTTATTAAGTTGATGAATTTGACTCTGTTATAATCAAGAATTTTTCTTCTTCAAAAGACTATATAATGAAAAGATAAACCACAAAAAGGAGAGGAACTTTATAGCATACACAACTGATAAAGGGCTTATATCCAGGGTATACTGTATAAAGTACTGGAAATCAATAACAAAAAGATAAACAACTCAGTTGGAACATGGGACAGAGACCTGAACAGGCATTTCACAAAAGAGAATACCAAATAGCCAATAAACATATGAAAATTGCTCAGTCTCATTAGTAATCAGGAAAATGAAAATTAAAACCACAATTGGGCCTAAGAATGGTGGCTCACACCTTTAATCCCAGCACCGTGGGAGGCCGAGGCTGAAGGGTCGCTTGAGCCCAGGAGTGCAAGATCAAATTGGACAACATGTCGAAAACCCATGTCTAAAAATAAATAAATAAATAAAAATTAAAAGAAAAAAAGGCCAGCCTGGGTAACATAGCAAGACTCTGTCTCTAAAAAAAAAAAAAAAAAATCAAGCTATGGTGGCATGTTCGTAGTGCCAGTTACTTGGGAGGCTAATGTGGGAGGCTCAATTGTACCCAGGAGTTTAAAGCTGAAGTGAGCTACTGCACACCAGCCTGGGTGATAGAGCAAGATTCTGTCTTTAAAAAACAAAATGAAATAAAATAAAACACACAAACGAAACACACAATTGGATAATAGCATATATTCCCCAGAAAAGCTAAAATTAAACAAACTGACAATAATAACTATTGGCAAGGGTGTGAGGCACTGGGAACTCTCATACACTGCTGGCAGGAGTGACGCAACCACAGCTTGACTTTCTTTACTAAGGTTGAAGGTGCATACTCAGTGATCCAGCAATTCCACTATCATGGACCCAGTACAAAAGTGTACACATATATCTCAAGAGACATATATACAAATGTTCATGGAGGTGTTATTTGTAATAACTCCAAACTGGAAATAACCTAAATATGGCATTGACAGTAGAATTAGTAAATATGGAGTGTGATATATTCATACAATGGAATGATATTCAGCAATGGAAATGAGCAGGCTAAATCTATATGCAACATTATGGATGATTATGGATGACTTTTAGGTACAAATCTTTTTACAACATTATGGATTCATTATGGCTGAATCTTAGATACAAAAGAACACACGTACAGTTAGTGTCCTCGGACAGAGTTTCCTGACGGATCCCTGTCATCTGGAGTTAGTGGCAGCAGGGTAGCCCCTAGGACCAAAGTGTGTTGGGCAAGATGTTCCAGCAGGCAGCTGCTCTAAGGTAACTGCTTCGTTAGAGGTTTAGAGATGAGCAGGTTTAGAGAACTAGGGATTAGGGTTTCCTTTTTCTGGGAAAGGCCAGGAGGGAGAGAAAATGGGGAGATGGGCGTCTAAAAAATATCCATCTTAATCATTTTCAGCTCTACTTTAAGGCTTTCTCCTCTTGTTCAGTGTTATTCCTCTTGTAAAAAGTTTTAAAAACCAGGCAAAAGGCCGGGCGCGGTGGCTCAAGCCTGTAATCCCAGCACTTTGGGAGGCCGAGGCGGGTGGATCACGAGGTCAAGAGATCGAGACCAGCCTGGTCAACATGGTGAAACCCCGTCTCTACTAAAAATACAAAAAAATTAGCTGGGCATGGTGGTGTGTACCTGTAATCCCAGCTACTCAGGAGGCTGAGGCAGGAGAATTGCCTGAACCCGGGAGGCGGAGGTTGCGGTGAGCCGAGATCGCGCCATTGCACTCCAGCCTGGGTAACAAGAGAGAAACTCCGTCTCAAAAAAAAAAAAAAAAAAAAAAAAAAACAGGCAAGATTAACCTACAGTGTTTAAGAGTACGTGTTTACAAAAGTCAAGATAATAGTTACCTTTGGGAGAACAGAAGGGATAGTAATTGAGAGAGAGTTGATGATAATGTTCTTTTTATTGAGCTGAGTAGTAGCTACATGGATGTTTGTGGATAATTTGTTGAGCTAAACATTTTTGTATTGTGCTCTTTTCTGTCTTTCTGATTGAGAATTATATTTCACAACAAAAAAAGGTTTAAAAGATCATAATTTTAAAACTCCCATTCAATTTCACTGAGGAAAAAAAAGTATTCAGTGTCTATGTGTTAGGCATGGTACTCTTTTTCTGAAGCCAAGGGAGAAATGAAATACAAAGATGAATGGCATGGTTCCTGTCTCCAATAAGCTTACAATAAAGTATTACAAGGCAGAATGCAATAAGCAGCAAATAAAGGCATTGTTATGTTATTTGCACTACTTAGGTTTAAAACATCATCTTATCGACCAGGTGAGATTGCTCACTCCTGTAATCCCAACACTTTGGGAGGCTGAGGCAGGTGGATCATGAGGTTAGGGGTTCAACACCAGGCTGGCTGAGATGGTGAAATCCCGCCTCTACTAAAACTACAAAAATTAGCCAGGCGTGGTGGCAGGCACCTGTAATCCTAGCTATTCGGGAGGCTGAGGCAGGAGAATCGCTTGAACCTGGGTGGCAGAGGTTGTAGTGAGCCGAGATGGCGCCACTCCACTGTAGCCTTGGCGACAGAGTGAGACTTGGTCTCAAAAAAAAAAAAATTACCTAAAAATTTTATTTAAAAGTTAATGGCCTCAATGGGAAGAATTGAGATATAAGAAAAAATAATAATAAAGTTCTTTTTTTCAGTAATGGCAGCAATAAAGATGTTTGTTATTGTTGCTTAAAAACAACAGATTGGGGCTGGGCACGGTGGCTCATGCCTGTAATCCCAGCACTCTGTGAGGTTAAAGAGGGTGGATCACCTGAGGTCAGGAGTTTGAGACCAGCCTGGCCAGCATGGTGAAACCCCAGCTCTACTAAAAATACAAAAAGTAGTCAGCCAGGTTGGTGTGTGCCTGTAAACCCAGCTACTTGGGAGGCTGAGGCAGGAGAATCACTTGAACCCAGAAGGTGGAGGTTGAAGTGAGCTGAGATCATGCCATTGTACTCCAGCCTGGGCAACAGAGCAAGACTTTGTCTCAAATAATAATAATAATAACAGATTAGTTGATCAAAACGAACAAAAACAAGCCTGAACCCTTCTCGTGGCCCTTTAATTTCACACTCTGAAGTTTTCCATCACTGCTATCATATCTGGCCTTTAAGTTTTCCAAGAGCTTACATTCCAAAAAGATAATTTTAAAAACCTTATTAACATTGACTTTAATAATATGAAATCCAGGCCGGGCATGATGGCTCATGCCTGCAATCCCAGTATTTTGGGATACTGAGGCGGTGGATCACTTGAGGCCAGGAGTTCAAGACCAGTCTGGCTAACATGGCAAAACCCCATCTCTACTAAAAATACCAAAATTAGTTGGGCATGGTGGCACACACCTGTAATCCCAGCTGCTCGGGAGGGTGAGGCAGGAGAATTGCTTGAACCTAGGAGGCAGATGTTGCATGTTGAAGTGAGACAAGACTGTGCCACTGCGCTCTAGCCTAGGCGACAGAGTGAGACTCCGTCTCACACACACACACACACACACACACACCCACCCAACAGCTCTAATGATAATGCATGTCTTTGTTTGATTGCTTGTTTGTGAGACGGAGTCTCACTCTGTCGCCCAGGCTGGAGTGCAGGGTGCCATCTTGGCTCACTGCAACCTCTGCCTCCCGGATTCAAGTGATTCTCCTGCCTCAGCCTCCCAAGTAGCTGGGACTACAGGCACGTGCCACTATGCCCAGCTAATTTTGTCTACACGTATTTAGTAGAGATGGTGTTTCACCGTGTTAGCCAGGATGGCCTCAATCTCCTGACCCCACGATCTGCCTGACTCGGCCTCCCAAAGTCCTGGGATTACAGGCGTGAGCCACCGCGCCCAGCTAATGCATGCTTTTTCAAAGAATTTATCACCCTTGACTTGTGCCCAAGTCATGACTT